CAACTAAAAATAAATAGAAAAAAAATTAGCCAGGCGTGGTGGCGCATGCCTATAGTCCCAGCTACTCGGGAAGCTAAGGCAGGAGGATAGCTTGAGCCCAGGAGTTTGAGGTTGCTGTGAGCTAGGCTGATGCCATGGCACTCTAGCCCGGGCAACAGAGTGAGACTCTGTCTCAAAAAAAAAAAAAAAAATCAGCTACATCAACATGTACTAATGTAGAAAAATCTCTATGACATATTGTTATGTAAAAATCAAGTTATAGAACAAAACACCCATTTAATACCAGTTTAGCTTTTAATTTATTTTTATATGTTCATATGCACTTGATTTCTGGCTCAATGTAAATGTATTAGGAAAGATCTGGAAGTATACTCAAAGTTAAAATAGTTACTGAAATGTCACTGGAATTAGACAGAAGAAACAGTGTCAAAAGGAACTTTTTCCTGTATGATTTTAATTTTTATGACAAGAATGTATTTGTTACTTTGTCATTAAAAATAAATGAAATCAAATTACTTTTCAAAGAACATATTGTTCACAGTGTGCTGATGATACTACCATCTGGGAATCAGACATTTTTAGATCCCCTGATTTGACAGTGTACCTAACTGTTTTCAACAGAATTTGTCAGATGAAGTTAGTGTTTTATCTGTTTCCTATCTGTACCATTCATCTTCTACTCCCATTTTTCCTCCCCTTTCCAAATTTAATAGCTCAAAGTCCATAGATTACATTAAAGTCGTTCTTGGTGTTGTGTATTCTATGGATTTCCTAAATGTATAACAACATATATTTATGGTTAAATTACTGGCAAACCTCGCTTTGTTGCTCTTCCCTTTATTGTACTTTGCAGATACTGTGTTTTTTACAAATTGGAGGTTTGTGTCTACCCTGTGTCTAGCAAATTTATTGGCACCATTTGTCCAACAGCATGTGCTCACTTTGTGTCTCTGTGTCACATTTTGGTGAGTCTCATAATATTTCAAATTTTTTTCATTATTATTTTATGTGTTATAGTGAACTGTGATCAGCGATCTTTTATGTTACTGTCGCAATTGTTTAGAGGCACCACACACCACACTCATAGAAGACAGCAAATTTAATCAATAAATGTTGTGTGTGTATTTGACTGCTCCACTGATCGGCCATTCCCCGTCTCTCTCTTTCCCCTCAGACCTCCCTATTCTCTGAGACACAGTAATATCGAAATTAGGTCAATTAATAACCCTGCAATGGTCTCTAAGTGTTCAAGTGAAACATTTGAAGAGTTGAAAGGAAGAGTTGCATATCTCTCACTTTAAATCAAAAGCTAGAAATGATTAAGCTTAGTTAGGAAGGCATGTCAAAAGCCACGACAGTCTGAAAGCCAGGCCTCTTGTGCCAAATAGTTAGCCAATTTGTAAATGCAAAGGAAAAGTTCTTTTTCTTTAGAAGGAAATTAAAAGTGCTACTCCAGTGAACACACAAATGACAAGAAAGTAAAACAGCCTTATTGCTGATGTGGAGAAAGTTTTAGTGGTCTGGATAGAAGATCAAAGCAGCCGCAATGCTCCCTTAAGCCAAAGCCTAATCCCGGGCAAAGCCCTAACTCTCTTCAATTCAATAAAGGCTGAGAGAGGTGAGGAAGCTGCAGAAGAAAAGTTGGAAGCTGACAGAGGTTGGTTCATGAGGTTTAAGGAAAAAGCCATCTCCATAACATAAAAGTGCAAGGTGAAGCAGCAAGTTATGATGTAGAAGCTGCCGAAAGTTATCCAGAAGATCTAGCTAAGATCACTGATGATGAAAACAGTTTTCTATTGGAAGACGCCATCTAGGACTTTCATAGCTAAAGAGGAGAAGTCAATGCCTGGCTTCAAAGCTTCAAAGGAGAGGCAGACTCTCTTGTGAGGGTCTAATCCAGCTGTGACTTTAAGTGGAAGCCAGTGCTCATCTACCATTCTGAAAATCCTAGGGTGCTTAGGAATGATGCTAAATCTACTCTGCTTGTGCTCTATAAATGGCACAACAAAGCCTAGATAACAGTACTTCTGGGTTTTTTTTTTTTTTTTTTTTGAGACAGAGTCTCACTTTGTTGCCCAGGCTAGAGTGAGTGCCGTGACATCAACCTAGCTCACAGCAACCTCAAACTCCTGGGCTCAAGCAATCCTCCTGCCTCAGCCTCCCGAGTAGCTGGGGCTACAGGCATGCACCACCATGCCCAGCTACTTTTTTTTCTATATATATTAGTTGGCCAATTAATTTCTTTCTATTTATAGTAGAGATGGGGTCTCGCTCTTGCTCAGGCTGGTTTCGAACTCCTGACTTTGAGCAATCCACCTGCCTCGGCCTCCCAGAGAGCTAGGATTACAGGTGTGAGCCACCGTGCCCGGCCAGTACTTCTGTTTATAGTTTGGTTTACTGAATATTTTAAGCTTATTATTGATATCTACTGCTCAGAAAAAAAGATTCCTTTCAAAATATTACTGCTTATTGACAGTGCACCTGGTCACTCAAGAGTTCTAATGGAGATGAACGAGGAGATAAATGTTGTTTTCCTGCCTGCTGACACAACATCCATTCTGCAGCCCATGGGTCAAGAAGTAATTTTGACTTTTAAGTTAAGAAGTATGTTTCCCAGGCTATAGCTGCCATAAACAGCAATTCTTCTGATGGATCTTGGAAAAATATAATTGAAAATCTCAGGAAAGAATTCACCATTCTAGATGCCATTAAGAACCTGTGTGATTCATGGGAGGAAGTCAAACTATCAACATTAACAGGACTTTGGAAGAAGTTGATTCCAATCCTCATGGATGACTTTGAGGGGTTCAAGACTTCAGTGGAGGGAAGTAACTGCAGATATGGTGGGGAAAGTAAGAGAACTAGAGTTGGAGCTAAAGATATGACTGAATTCCTAAAATTTTATAATAAAAATTTAACAGATAAGCAATTGTTTCTTATAGATGAGCAAACAAAAGGTTTCTTGAGATGGAACGTATTCCTGCTGAAGATGCTGTGAACATTGTTGAAATGACAACAAAGGATTTAGAATATTACATAAACTTAGTTGATTAAGTAGCAGTAGGATTGGAGAGGTTTTACTCCAATTTGGGATGAAGGTCTACTGAGGGTAAAATGCTATCAAAGAACATCCGATGCTACAGAGAAATTCTTTCGTGAAGGGAAGAATCAATCAATGCAGCAAACTTCATTGTTGTCTTATTTGAAGAAATTGCCACGGCCACCCCAACCTTCAGCAACCAACACCCTGCTCAGTTTGCAGCCATCAGCATCAAGGCAAGATCCTCCACCAGCAAAGATTATGACTTGCTGAAAGCTCAGATGATCATTAGCATGTTTTTAGCACTAAAGTATTTTTTAATTAAGGTATGTATGTTGTATTTTTTAGACATAATGCTATCGCACACTTAATAGACTACAGTATAATGTAAATATAACTTTTTTTTTCATCCAAGAAATGAATATGAAATTCCAGCAAAATATAACTTTTATATGCCCTGGGAAACCAAAAAATTCATGTTACTTAATTTATGGTGATATTTGCTTTCTTGCAGTGGTCTGGAACTGCACAGCCAGTATCTCTGAGATGTGCTTCTGCATAAACTATAACTTCTTGTGGTTTTTTTCATGCTTGACAGAGTAATGTGCCCGGTATTTTGAAGATTTCCTTTCTATTTTGGACAATTTTGTTCTAAAAAAGGTTATTCCTGGAAAGTCATTTAGGAGCTATCACTGCATCTACGGTCAACTAAGAAAAGAGCAGTTTACTTGTTTCAGGAACACGGAGTGTGCACAATTTGGCAGGTGGTAAGTATATGGGCTCATACTTTCCTGCTAGCATAACACTGCTTGAAAGCATTTTGGGGTCATTTCATCCAGTTCTAATCACTTCAACCTTTGGGCTTTCTGATCCCTGAGATTGCCCTGACCTTTCCTGCAAGTTCACCCTGATATTCATTCAAAGACAAGAAACGTAAATAAAGAGTCAGAGACTCTGGTGTGGAAGGTGGTTTTAGATCATCCACTTTAAACCCTGTCTGAGTTTTATTCTCTAGTTGTTTTGACTGTCCAAAGCTTGTCCGTTAGGGTATTTCTCAGGAAGGGCTTGTGAGAGCAACACTCTCCAGTTCTTGTGTGTCACGCCAGGGTCTGCCCCTCTGTCCAGGGACACCTCCCTCGGCGGAGGAGACACAGGGCCTGAGGTATGGAGCTTTCTGTGTGTGCGGGAATCGTCCACCAAAGAGGCCTGTGACCCCTGTGGGCCAAGGGGATACAGGGAGGGCAGGCACTCACAGGGTCTGCCACTGCCCCTGACTTTCAGTTGCCAGGGTTTAAAGTCACCGTGTGAGAGACAGAGCTACTTCCGTGCACCTGTCTGGGGGAGGCTGAGCTGTGTGGATGCGGGTGGACCGGAAGCAGTCTTTCAGGACAGGCTCTGAGGGAAGAAGGAGGACCCTGGGGGCTGGTCCTTCCCCTCAGACATGGGTTCCTGCTGATCGCTCCTGTTGTGCAAACAGACTGAGGTTCGATTTCTGCTCATGGACTAGCTCTGTGTTCTCAGAGCAGGTTCCTTAAATCACCCTAAGTCTTGGCTTCCTCAGCTGTAGAATTAAAGATGATAAACGTCAGCGTCACAGAGATGTTTAGGAGAGACTTCACGTGAAAGCATTTAGTAGCATGCTCAAAAAGCCATTTTCCTTTCCTTCCTTCCCGCGCTCTGTCTGCCTAACTTTAGCTCCTTTCTTTTTTCTAAGACTGCCAACCACACATTTCGTTTTATGGCAGAGTTGACGTTATTGCAGGTGGTTGTAACAATACTTTCATACCACAGCCCTCTTTCCTGATGTTCTTTATTATTGATGGTAGTGAAGTTTCTTTTTTTAATTTCAGAATATTATGGGGGTACACATGTTTTGGTTATATAATTTACTTTTGTATAATTTGAGTCATTAAAAGTGTGCCCTTCACCCAGATGGTGTACATTGTACCTGTTAGGTGTGAATTTACCCCTCTCACCCACTTGATTTCTATTGAGTTTTACCTCCATATGTCCACATGAGTGTGACAGTGAAGAGTTTGAACCAAAGTGTGTATCTGGAGCACAAACTCTTCACCAACAATGTACTGCAGCGCCACACAAGGCTCCCGCGTGGAGAGGCAAGCCCGTTCTCTGCCCTCCTGTCCCTCAGAGGTGGGGGGAGTAGCCGGCAACCACGATGTTCTCCCCAGTGATGTAGCTGGCGTCTGGAGAGCACAGGAAGGACACGAGCCCGGCACACTCCCTGGGCTGCCCCATTCTGCAGGGAAAGAAGAGGTGGGGCTGAGACTGACGGCACCTTCCCCATGAGCCCTGGGGACCCTGGAAAGTCAAGACCCCTGTGGAGATGAGCGAAGGGTTGCAGGTGAAGAGATGTGGGCCTGAGTGGGTCGTCAGATCCCGGAGAGGGGAATAGGTAACAGCCTGCAAGGGATAAGTGTCTGGTCTTTTATCCTTCACAAACGTTCTAAGGTCTTATTATTCCAGATCCATCAGGGCCACTGCCTCACCACAACCTACCTCTGTACACTATGGAGTCCCTTCAGATGGTTCTCAACATCTGGGTCCTTGATAATCTAAACAAAAGGTGAAAGGTTAGTGCTGCTCATACAGGTGGAGTCACATGGGCTCTGCATCATGCAGGCCTGTATCTTTGTGGAAGGGCTGCTGGTGGACGCTCTGGCTCGTCCCTGACACAGCACGGATTCTGATCTCAACGGCTGCGGGCCAGAGTATCAGAGCAGGAGTCCACAGGTGCAGGTCTGAGAGCCCAGGTCTCTGTGAGGCACGGCCTGGAAGGAGAAGGCAGCCCAGTGCTCAGCAGGGTGGAAACAGGAGCTGCCCTTGATCCTCACCACTTGGCTGAAGTTTGTATCGATGACTCCTGGTACCAGGCAGTTCACTCGAATGTTCTTTGGTGCCAGCTCCACTGCAAGGGTCTTGGTGAGTCCCAGCAGGGCTGTTTTACTGACATTGTAGGCCCCAAGACTCTGTGGAGAGGGAAGGGAAAAGATAATAGAATAGAATTGGAGCCAAAGGAGAGTCACTTGGAGAATCCAGGAAATCCGTCCCAATAACACCTCCAGATCAAGTCTGAGAGACAATGCCCAAAAAAGATGGCAAGAGGCTCCCATTAAGTGCATTTATGTAAAAGGCAAGACCTGTGACACACTTTGATCCTTTCTGCATGGGAGTACTCCTGAGGGAGCAATTGTCAAGCCATGGATATTTCCATGCACCCCATGTTCCAGATGAAGTGGGAGAGAGTTTCCTCTTACCTCACCTGGAGCCACAGGCAGTCATACTTACAACAACTGGAGTATAGGCTACGACTGAGGAGACCAGGACCACCGAACCTTGCCTGGGAAGATAAAGATAGGGAGGTGAGTGAGCTGAAGACAGTTATCTTAAGTGTGCATGGAAGAGGGGTGGAGGACTGTGCTGCTGAGCAAGAATAGCTTGGGCCTGGTGGAGGTATTGATCTCCATTTTCTTTGAGGTCTTCACTTATGTTTCTCAAATTATATTGCCAGAGAAGCCATCTGTGTTTGGATTTTGTTTTTGTAGGAAAAGTTCTGAATATAGATTACATTTATTTAATAGTTATTGGGCCAATCAGGTTTTCTACCTATTCTTGAGTCAGTTTTGGTAAGTTGTATAATTTTTTTAAATGTGTCAATTTCATTACAATTTCAGTGTAAACATAACTTTGGCATACAGATTTCTCTATGGCATTATGATTCTCTTAGTGCCTTTTTATTGTCTTTAGGATCTCTAGTGGCATCTTTTGTTTTTATTTCTGATATTGGTTATTTTGTGCCTTTCCTCTTTTTTTCCTGATCAGTCCCACCAGAAATTTGCCAAAAGCATTAATGTTTTGTTTATTTTAAATAAATGCTTGGTTTTCTTGATCTGTGTGTCATTTTTTTCTTTTTAATTGATTTCTGCCCTATATTATAGTCTTTTCTTTCTTCTTTCTGTGCATTTACTTTTTCCCCTGCACATTCTAGTTTTGCTTTTATTTAATATTGACAATATAGTACTCAGGTAACCACTATTGTTTATAATCCAGAAAGATATGCTTTTACTTCAATGTCTATAACAGGGGACTAAAATGTGCATTTTAAATGCAGCAGTTGAGCTGAGTACATTTTGTGTGATGTACTGAGGTTTGTCTGTCCTTTTTCTAATCCTTGATTCCTAGCCTTTCCTAGAACCATAACTTTCTTAGAACTCTTTCTATAAATAAATTTCCTTGAATTCAGTTAGCAGAAATGAAAATCTTGATAAAACATCTCATTCTTATCTAAAGTAATCAGATTTAAAATTTTTAATTTGATTAAAAATTCTAGCTTGAGAATCTTTATATTTTAACTGCAATTACCGATATACTGGGGATAATGTCTAATATCCAGTTTTAGGCTTTTTAAAAAATTATTTGCTTTGGTTTTTTTTTTTTTTGATTTTTCGTTTCCACTTCCCTCTCTGTTGGTTTGAAAATGTACTGCATACTCTGTTGTCATTCTTGTAGCTGTCACTCTAGAAAATAAAATAGGACTGTTTAACTTACCAAACTTCAAAATTAATATTCTTACCTTCTCTCTAATAACTGAAAATCTTACAACATTTTAACTCCATTTCTATCTTCCTGATTTGAATTTTTTTATAGATATTAATTTTTTAACTCCACAAAACATCGTTATTGATTTTTACAATAACTATTTAAATTTGTTCATGTTACCCTATTCTGCGTTTTCATTCTCACTTTCATCACTTTCCATATGAGATCATTTTTTTCCTTCTGTCTGGAATATATCACTTAGAATTTCCTTTAGTGAAGGTCTTCTGGTAGCAAACTTTGTTTTTATTCGTGTGAAAATGTTATAAATTTGCCCTAATTTTTGAAAGATATATTGACTAAGTATAGACTTCTAGGCTGACACTTTCTTTCAGCATATGGGAAGCTCCATTTAAATTGGACTGCGAAGGATAGTTAGGATTTTGGCAAGTAGATAAGAATAAATGCAAACAATTTTAAGTGCAGCTCCCTTTGTGAATCTCTGCCTTGTCCACAAGGCAGGAATTGTGCTTGTTTGATTTTACTTGCACGTATCTCATAACTAATAATGTTAGGTCATTAAATATGAAATGTCTAATTTTGAATCTAAAGTGTAGTTTATTAACAAGAAGCAGTACAATTAGCCAAAGTACGCACCTAAACTATCGACAGTTTTGCCATCTAAACAATAACATCTTAACAGCTTGTTTATGCTAGCAGTGAAGAAGCCTGGAGAGCGAGTGGCAATGAAATCACAAAAGGCATTTTACGCAGCTTGTTGAGAAGTGAGTATTTGTCCTTGCAAGAAGTGGTCCAGGCTCTGCAGAGGAAGCCAGAGCCAGCAGCAGGGGACTAGGCAGAGACCACATGGCTGAGCACCAGATCCCCAACCCACATTCCAATATAGGCACCTCACTTATGGAGGATATTTTTTGATAAAAAGGGTTCTGCTTTTAAAAAACAGTTTGAAAATTATTGTATTGGGTTGATCCACACAGATTCCTATATTTGGCCATTTTCTACCTACAAAAATTATATTTTTGTAAATATGGTTTGATTTAATACCACACCATGCCTGTGTTAGGGCTGGAAGGGGCCTTAGAAGCCATTATTAGTTAGAAATCCTGGATGTGTTTCACAGACGGTCAATTGGGTCCAGAGAAACAACCCAGTCTATACTAGGTGCTCAGTATGTGCTTGCTGAGTTCAGTGGCTGCTCCAAAATATCAATATGGAAAGCACTGAAGGGAAGCAGTCCAGCTGGAAGAGGTGCCTTAAAGCTACATCTGCAAAGAACTTTACCTGAGATTGAGAAAACCTCTGTTGACCATTTTAATGAGAGTGACAGCAATGCCGGTGGAGATAACTTCAGAGGAGGCACAGGGAAGCAGAGGGGAGGTCTGAGGGGCTGGGATATGGCCAGAGGGATCTATTTTGGAACAGGAATGAGACTGGCCCAGTTGGACAGCTGGGATGGGGATGGCTGGAGTGCCTTCAGGAGAAGCTGCGTTCCTGGGGTGGAAAGACAATGGACCTTCCAATGATTGGGCCTGAAATTCAATGAGTGTTCCTCCCCCAGGCCAAACACTAGGCACCCGGGAACATCCCAAGTCATTGAGATGCAGGAAACTGGCAGCAAGAGACAACCACAGGCCCATCCCACAGGTGAGGATGGAGCTGGGCAGGCAGGCATCTACCAGGGATTGTGGAGAGAGGCAGGGAAGCAGGCTTTCTAATCTGGGAATTGACTGAATGGCTGGGGTTTGGGTGTGGTGGGGGAGGACAGGGCCAGAGAAATAGTTAGGAAGTAGGAAGGACAAGAGGTGAGTAGGACTGTGAAACATGGCTGCTCTGGTTCCTGACAAGCTGCAGGGGGCCTCGGGGGTCATCAACCTGGACCCTTGTGACCTGAGCTCCCACAGCCCAAGAGAGGCCACTTCCATTTCTCTCATTGCAAGACAGTGGAGGGTCTCTGAGACCTTCTGTCTGTGGATCCTTCCTCCTTCTTCTAATAGAGTCCTGGCCAGACTCCCTGAGCACGCTGATGTAAGAGAATGACACTAATGGATAGAAATCTTTTGTTTTTTTTGGCTGACCCAGAGTCTGAAAGTCAAACTCTTTTGTATTATAGGTTCAGCCAAGCCTGTTTCCCAGCAGAAAGGTCGAACTCAAATCTAGCCCTTCTCACTCTAGTTACATTGCTTCCTGTGGGATATCAACTCCCTCCCTACCCGTTTCCCTGCCCTCACCCTCTCTTCTCCATGTGGGGCAGCAGCTGGCTCAGCAGCAGGGCTGGGGCCTTCACGTTCACGCCCAGGATCTGAAACCAGAGCAGATGAGGAACAGAGGAGGAGAGACACAGCCCAGTGTTCTCGCCATATTAGAAAATGTACCACATTAGGAGGTGGGTGTGATGGCCTCTGACAAGGGGAAGTGGGCAGAGTGTTGGCTTTCCTGGGCATGCATGGAAACGGGGGACATCCCTACAATTCAGGAACAAAAGCTGAGGACTCTGCAGGCAGAAGACGCCAGAGTTTGCATAATGTCTCGCCACGCCTCCTAGGCCTCCAGTTCCATCTGGAGCAGAGGAGGCACAAACAGCCGAGTTTAGAGAAGGCCAGAGGTGCCAGTGTTGGGGATTAAGCATGCCTGAGTAAGGAAGGAAGTCATTCCCTCCTTGATGCCCCCTATTTTTTGTGACTGTTTGGCTTTCTGTTGGAGACTCCCTGAAGACTGGGAACTCTTGAACAACGGAGAGAGCAGACCAGAACTGCAACACACACACTCTCATCTCCATCTTACAGATGGGGAAACTGAGGATCAGGAAGTCCCGGCATGTGGCCTCACTCTGTGCCAACGAGTCTGTGATGGGAGGGTGGATGTGTGGGAGCTAAAGACCAGCTCTGGGTGCGTGAGCTGAGATGGAGAAAGGGTTACAGTGAGGGTGAGGATAAAGTTCAACCCGCCCTTCATTGGCTTCCTCAGACCTCACCTTGTCCCAGACCTGCTCACTGCTCTTCAAGGTACTTCCCACCATAGGATTGACCCCTGCCACGCATACCAGGAAGTCCACACCCCCACAGTGCTCCAGGGCCTGAAAGTAGGAAAAGCCATAGAAGACCAGGGTCAGGTAGTGAAAGGAGGTTCCTGCTGCAGTGGGAGGTGACCCCTGTTTGATGTCCCTGGGGCTGTGTCTGCATTAATTCCAGAGGAAAGGAGAATAATACCAAGTGACAATGAAGCACCATTTCTTCTCTTTTAGGAACCAGGCACTGAACTTCTGGACAAAAGGGGTGGAGTGTCACCCCAGGTACTCTTCCATGTCCTCCTACTATCTAGTCCTAGGCACTATTGGCTACCAGTCCCCAAACACAGCTCTCACCTGCACCATTTCCTGGGATTTCACTGTCCCCTCGACCTTTCCCCAAACACTGTAGCTCTGACTATACAACAAGGATTTGCTTCTCTACAGCATCTCTGTATCCTTAGATCCCTCCTCAGGGATCTTCCAGGAGGTTCTGGCTGATACTCAACATAAAGCTGGTGGAGAAGCAGACTTCTCCTTTCCCACCAGGGTGTTGCCCACTCCAACATCTGCCTGAATCCTGGGCTAGGTGCACTCCCTGGGCATGCCCTTTCTCTGCTCAGGTCTGTTCAGGGCATACTGGGGCTCCTGGCCAAAAGTTGAGTGACACATAGTTGACTGGGTTTTTGATGGGCCTTTAGCCCTCTCCCCTAGTGTGGGTCACAGCAGCAGAATCCTTGAGTCCCTGTCTGCACCTCCTTTTATGCCCCTCACCGTGGCCACCAGCCGCTCCCGGTCCTCTGCCTTCCCCACGTGGCACACAGTGCCCGTCACGCTCAGCCCCTCCCCCTGCAGCGCTACCACGGCCCGGTCCACGTTCTGCTGCGTCCGGCTGCTGACCACCACGTGGGCCCCGTCCTGGGCCAGGCGCTGAGCGATGGCGAAGCCGATCCTTGGAACAGAAGTGGAGAGGATGTGACAATTCAGCCCTGGACTGAGCCCTTTCTTGCTGCATTTCTCATTCTGAGGCACCAAATGAGTTCTCTCCACTACCCAGAGCAGCTAACCTCATGCCCTACTTGTGAATGGTCAGAGAACCAGAAGAGGTGAAGAGGGAATCCCTTAGTCTGCAGGTATATTGGACCTTCTATGTCCACATCAGATCTTCTTGGCTTCCCCTCCTACTAGAACTGCTACTGTGACAAACTATTCTCAGGTCCTCAAGGCTTTGGCTTACTTTGCAGCTGCAACTTGAGTGTTCCCTACCCCAGCCTGTGAAACCACTGAGTGCTCATAGGCAAGCAACTTGGAAGTGTGGGGCATTAACTGATGTAGAATAACTCCGGAGCAATTGAGGAAAGGTACAATGGAAGAATTTCCTCTGTCTTCCCCTGATGGATGCCTCTGAGATGCATTTCATGTTTTTGAGAGGACCTGTGGAAACCATCACCCAGTGCCTTGTAGTGGGCCAACATGATAACATATCCTGCACTGGTTTTGTCTCCTTTCCTAGTTTCCCGTCTTGTTCCTCATTTTTCTTCTTCATCACATTCTCAAAAAACTACCAGCACTTGAGCCTAGTAGACTTTGCTTTGTGGGGATGAATTCAGTTCCTGAATTCCCAAAGAGTTGCTCTCACCCGTTAGTGGATCCTGTGATCACAGCAACTTTGTTGGCTAGTTTGAGGCTATCATTGGTTTTACTGCTGGTGCTTCTCATGGAGAGTGGAACCACAAGGGATGAGAGGTCCCTCCGACACCTGGTCAGGAGCCTCAACATGGTGGTTTCTGTTTGTTCTTTCTCTTGGCGAGCTCTTTCCAGGGAGGGAGGCCTCTAGAAAGGCAATAACAATTCCAATAAACAGTTCCTTCAAGTAGGAGGATGATCATTTCCCTTGTTGAATTAGAGCTGGGCTGGTCTAGGAATCTCTCCTGGAAGCTCAGCCTAGAACCTTCTCCTCTAGTTCTTCCAATGGTTTTTTGAACACAGAATTTTCTACATCACATCTCTTCTCTTTAAACTAACTGGAGTGGTTTCTATTGTCTGGAATCAACTGCTGACATATGCACACATAACATAAGTTCTATAAATATTTATTTGTTGAGAACCCCTAAGATAATGAACATCTACTTCACAGGTTTGTTGTGAGACAACTAAACAAATTAAGATGTAAACACATTGAAAAAAGAAAACTACAGAACAATATCCCTTATGAACATAGATGCAAAAATTGTCAGCAAAATACTAGCAAACAAAATTCAAGAGCACATCAAAAAATAATTCATCATGACCAAGTAGGCTTCATCCCAGTGATGCAAGGATGGTTCAACATACATACACAAATCAATAAATGTGATTCACTATATAAACAGAAGCAAAAACAAAAACCATATAATTATCTCAATAAATGCAGAAAAAGCATTTGATAAAATACAACACCCCTTCATGACAAAAACCCTTAACAAACTAGGCATAGAAGGAACATACTTCAAAATTAATTAATAAAAACCATATATGACAAACCCACAGCCAACATGATACTGAACGGAGAAAAGTTGAAGCATTCTCCCTAAGAATGGAACAAAAAAAGTGTTCCCACTGTCACCACTTCTATTCAACATGGTACTAGAAGTCCTAGCCATAGCAATCAGGCAAGAGAAAGAAATAAAGGCCATCCAAATGAGGAAAGATGAGGTTAAACTATCCCTGTTTGCTGAAGATATAATTTTGTATCTAGAAAATCCTAAAGACTCCACCAAAAGACTCCTAGAATTGATAAATAAATTCAGCAAAGTCTCAGATTATAAAATCAATGCACACAAATCAGTGGCATTTCTATATACTAAGAACAGTCAAGCTGAGAGTCAAATCAAGGACTTAATACCATTTACAGCAGCTACAAAAAAATAAAATGCTTAGGAATAGATTTAACCAAGGAGATGAAAGATTTCTACAAGGAGTACTACAAAATATTAATGAAAGAAATTGTAGATGACACAAATGGTGGATTGGTAGAATCAACATTGTTAAAACGTCCATCTTGCCCAAAGTGATTTACATCAAAATGCCAATGTCTTAATTCACAGATCTAGGAAAAATAATCCTAAACTTCATTTGGAACCCAAAAAAAGCCCAAATAATCAAAGCAATCTTAAGAAAAAAGAACAAATTTGGAGGCATGACTTTACCTGACTTTAAATTATACTACTATCCAGAATCTACAAAGAACTCAAACAAATCAGTAAAAAAAAAACAAAACCAAACAACCTCATCAAAAAGTGGCAAAAGACATGAACAGAATTTTTTCAAAAGAAGATAGACAAATGGCAAAAAAAAAAAGCAAATATGTTCAACATCACTAACCATCAGGGAAATGCAGACTAAAACCACAATGAGATACTACCTTACTCCTGTCAAAATAGCCATTATTAAAAAGTAAAAAAAAAAAAAAACAACAAAAAACAGATGCTGGCATGAATGCAGAGAAAAAGGAATGTTTACACACTGTTGGTAGGACTGCAAACTAGTACAACCTCTGTGGAAAACAGTATGAAGATTCCTCTACGAGCTAAAAGTAGACCTACAATTTGATCCAGCAATCCCACTATTGGGTATCTACCCAAAGGAAAAGAATTCATTTTGTCAAAAAGACACCTGCACTCAAGTGTTTATTGCAGCACAACTTACAATTACAAAGATATGGAATCAACCTAAGTGCCCATAAATTCATGAGTGGATAAAGAAAGTGTGTGGGGGAGGATGTGTGCATATATGTACTGCTCAGTCATAAAAAGGAATGAAATAAATAATGTCTTTTGCAGCAACTTGGATGGTACTGGAAACCACTATCCTAAGTGAAGTATCTCAGGAATGAAAAACCAACACCACAAGTTCTCACTAATAAGTGGAAGCTAAATGGTGGATACACATGGGCACGAAGGGATGTAAAAGATGTTGGAAACTGAGAAGGGGAGAAACTAAGAATGGGAGGAGGTGAGGGGCATAAATTTACCTATCAGGTACAATGATCATCATCCTGGTGACTAGCACGATGAAAGCCTGACTTCAGCATAATGCAGTGTATCCATGTAACAAAAACATTTGTACTCCCTTAATATTTTGGGGGGAAAAAGACATGCAAGGGCTTTCTAAACTGTAAAGTGCCCAAAATATAAGTCATTTCACAGCTGCTTAAGGTGATGCATTTTGTCATTTTATCCTCTGTGGGTGTCTTGCCTCAGCCTTGAGATGCAACTCACTCCCTGCTTCCAGTGCTCTGCTCTGGCTGCTTTTCATATCTTAGCCTCTTCTTCCCGACTTATCTTTGTTTTCAGCTCGCACAGGAGTCCTTTCAGATCCCCCAAAGCTGATTTGTTGTCTCCTCCATGTGACCAAGTGGCCCCTGTGCTTATTCCTCTTCTAACATCAGCCTCCCTAACCCTATGTAACTGTGTTGCATTTCTCACTTCTAGCAGGGTACCCATCACCTAGTAATTGCTTAATAGGTATTTTTTGCATGGATGAATAGAGATTTGGCTGCAGTGATATTGTGGTTTCTTAGGGGCCTCACTGGACTGATGGGTCAAATTCCTTGGTCACTGCATGCCAGACCCTTCCTCTAGGATGTCAGTTGTGTCAGTTCAGCTCTGGTCTCAAAACACTATTGTAAAGCAGACATTCTTGATTTTTAAGTGCCCTGGCTTTGGGTGGCATCAGGCTTTGTGTAGACTGTAAATCTGTGTTCCTGAGATTTAGGATCCTGCCCCTCTGTTCAAATCACCACAAATCTATAGCTAGGCACCTATCTTATTTACATAAAGCCAATTCTCTCATTAAGCACTTCAACCTTAGTGAATCTAAGGCAAATATCAAAGCAGATAAATGCTGTTGAAGCAAACTTTACAAAAATTCATAATCCCTTTTTCTCCAAACTTTAGCTCCTACAATCCTCACTCATTCATTATGGTTCTTCTCCTCCCTTATAGCCAAGGATTCAAAATGGAATGTTAGCTTTTCTTCTCCTCTTACATAACTTTTTGTCAATGTCACTCCAGGCAGTTTATTCTTAAATCTCTGGAGCTTCATCTTGCCCAAGCACCGAATCATTCTGTCTCCATGCCCCAAACCATCCTCAGTCTTTTTGACAAGGAAAAATCTGCTTGGGAGAAGCAAAAGCTAAGCATCTTTCTCTCTCTCTCTCTCTCTCTCTCTCTCTCTCTCTCTCTCTCTCTCTCTCTCTCTCTCTCTCTCTTTCTCTTTCTCTCTCTCTCTCTCTCTCTCTCTCTCTCTCTCTCTCTCTCTCTCTCTCTCTCTCTCTCTTTCTGCCAACCCCTCCTTTTCTCTGCAATTATATGTATGTTTTTGGTTTGGAAAAAGATACAGAACCTAAGAATGTACTGGTTTCTTCATTCATTCAATGGACATTGACTGGAAACCTGCTCTGAGCTGGGCACTCAGAATATTATTCAAAGATGACTCTCATGATTTTGGTACTCAAGGCACTCACAGTCTGAGCTGGGCCTGCAGAAAAATAAATCATTATAATGCATATAGTGGTTGGACAAATATATGATTAACACAGTTTTATGGGTGCTCAGGGGAGAGAAGGGCACCTAATTTAACCTCAGATTGGGAATGGTTAGGTAAAATATCTTGGGGAAAGTAATGCCTAAGTTGACTCAGGAAAAGGGGGGGAGGGAAACGTTGCAAAAGACTTCAAAACAGACCTGACTTTGAAATGGACTTGGTGTCTTCAATGGAAAACTAGGCTTTGTCTAGCATCCTTTTTTAGGTGACTTGATTTTGTGGGATCTCTGCACCTTTCATTGTCTTTGAGCTATTTATTATTCTGTGCACAGATGCCTCTCTCTCAGCTTCTGCCCATGGTCTTAGGGCAGTGTCCCCTATCACCAGTTCCCATTCTGAAATTATCTAGGTACCCCTCAGGCACCAGTTATCTCACTAGCACATGAAAGACACTCATATCACGCAGGAGATTCTAAGGGTTTTAAGAGCTCTGTGCCAAGAACTAGGAACAAAAACCAGATCTATATTTTTTTATTACACCACAGATATCCGTGGATTTCTGGCAGTGACAAATAATTTGTCTGGTTGGTCAGGGGCCTGGAAGGAGTACAAGATTGGGAGACCAGGTACAATGAGGTGTGGGGAAGAGACATGTGGATGGATTATGGGAGAGAGCACAAAGTACATCAGTCATTACGTTGTATGTCACTAACCGTCAGAGAGGACCTGCCACAGAGGAGACACTAAGTACCAGGTGGACAGGATGACTTGGCCAGTACGGGTCAGCAAGCCTCTGTCTTAAGCCTCCTCAGTATTTGTGCAATGGGCCTATGAATGGGTGGTTTTGTTGAGTGGGCTAGACGGGATGCATGGACCCAGCAGGATCGGCTCCCTTTCACTGAGGTGACTCTATCTCCTGTTGCTGCTAAATGTCCAGTGCTAGGCTGTGACCAACGGTGGACTGTCAGTATGGTCCTATCTTAGTCAGTTTGGGCTGCTACAGCAAAGCACCATAGACTGGGTGGCTTATAAACAACAGAAATTTATTTCTCACAGTTCTGGAGGCCGAAAGTCTGAAATCAGGGTGAGGTTGCAGACTGCTGACTTCTCATTGCATTCTCACATGGCAGAGAGCTAGAGAGCTCTCTGGCCTTTTTAAATAAAGGTATTAATCCCATTCGTGAGGCTTCTATCCTCATGATCTAATTACCTTCCAAAGGTCCCACCTTCAAATATCATCACATTGAGATTAA